GGGGAGGGAATGGGGATTTTGAAGTAACCTTCCCCTGTCATGCCCGCCATGCCACGCCCACCAAGCCACCACCCACAGAACCAGTAGTAAAAATTTTTGAAACCCACCACTGCGTAAGTCCATTTTAATATGCCATTCCTGGTATTTGATGTTTTGTATACATACAGAGAAAGAAGCACTCTTGTAATCTTTGACTTTTAGGCTTGCTGTCAAACATCAGCCATAATACTAATGATTGTTTTATACAATATGCAGGTTGTATTACACGAATGGCTATTTTATATGTGAAATTATGACTGAAATATTACTGCACCTATATTGGTTCACACTGTCAGAAAGTTTCTCCTTAGTTTTAGGTTGCTTCTCTCTTTGTCCAGTTTCCATCCATTGCTCCTTGTTTTGCCTTCTGGTGCTTTGGAAAATACATTGCCCCCCCTTCTTTCTGGCAGCCCCTTAAAAAAGCCTGTTGCCTATCACACTCTTGGGCAAAGCATGTGAGCCATTTCCTCCTTTCAGTGGTCCATGAAAGTGCATCTATAGTATGTAGATAATAAAGTTGAAAAAAGGTGAACAACATTTTTACAGAACTATAGATACGTTGAGGCTGGTGTGACAAGGAATGGCTGGGAGGGGATGAGCCAGGCGAGGCACCCCTTGACGTGAGTGACATTGAGTTGGCCACGCCTACCCAGTCACATGACCATCAAGCCATGCCTACTGTCACATGACCATCAAGCCATGCCCACTGTCACATGACCATCAACCCACGCCCACAAAATAAGCCACGCCCACAGAACTGGTAGTAAAAAAATTTAGAACCCACCCCTGTACTGTACATACCCAGTTAGAACATTATTGTGCAGGTAAATACTACTACAATGTATAGATGCATTTTCAAATGTTTTTTCAAGAGAGAGAAAGCTTTTTCTTCCCTTAAAACATTGCAAAATATGGCTGCTAGAAAATGCTTATGCAAGTAGTCCTCAACTTATGTCCACAACTGAGCCCAAAATTTCTGTTGCTAAGTGAGACATTTGTTAAGTGAATTTCGTCCCATTCTTAGATCTTTCTTGTCACAGTTCTTAAGTGAATCACTGCAGCTGTTAAGTTAGTTACACGATTGTTAAGTGAATCTGTCTTCCCCACTGACTTTGCTGATTGGAAGATCGCAAAAGGTGATGCCATAATCCTGGGACACTCATAAATATGAGTCAGTTGCCAAGTGTTTGAAGTTTGATCACCTGACCATGGAGATGCTGCAATGGTCATAAGTGTGAAAAACAGTCATAACTCACTTTTTCAGTGCTGATAACTTCAAATAGTCACTAAATGAACTGTTGTAAGTCGAGGACTACCTTTATAGTTTGTATAGCTATTTCAATTTTTAACTGTATATCTGATTTATTTAATAAAAGTTTTGTCTGAGTAACATGCAGAATAAGAAGAAAAAAACTTAAATACGTTTACAAGAAGAGAGAAAATGGGATTAGTTATCCATAATTCAGACATGCTAATAAAACTGAAGAGCTGATTTTAATAATACAGTAATATAAATATGAATAGTGCTGATATTGTACTAATCTGGCAGTTTGTTTAGTGGCATTGTAGTCGTGCTTCCCAAAATGATTTGGAATGGATAGCTTGGACTCTTAAAATTAACAGATCAGCAAAGATAATTGTAAAACGTAACAACTTCTTGATTTGCTTAAATTGAAAAGGATATATTTCCCATGCTGAGAGCCAGTTTGGTCTAGTGATCAAGGCACCAGGCTAGAAACTAGGAGGCTGAGAGTTCTAGTCCTGTTTTAGACATGAAAGCTAGTGGGTGACTTTGGGCTTGGCTATTCTCTCCCAGCCTCCAATGTCAGTGACAAGCTAGTTGGTCCATTTCTGTCAACATTTGATTGATAGTAGGAGAAAAAATATAGTCTCATTCTATGGGACTCTTAATCACAAAATTAAATAAGAATACAAGGTATTTTGACAGTAAGCAACATTTAGTGCTTCCATTATGTTCTATTGGTTGTTTGGATGGATGTCAGTTCATATTTAATATGCAATATAATCTCTAAATTTCTTTTTGATTTACTGCTTCCAAGTTACTTTTCTGTTTGCTTTTTTAATGGTGTTCATACTGAGTTTTAACTTGTTCTTTCTCTCTCTGTTTGGGCAAAGCTGTTAGCTTCAAACAGAAAATACCAAGTTTATATAAAACACATTACTGTTACTTCATATAAATGTATAAATAATTGATTTGGCAAGTTGTAATACAAAGGCATTTCAACCTTAAAATCAGCCTTTTGAACTTTCAAAAACAGCCATGAGGGCTTCCACAGCTTTTAGGAGATAGCACAAATTTTTCTTCTCAAATTTCCACACAAGTTTTTATTTCTAGAAACACAGAGAAACAGAATGTTACATTTTCTCCAAATCTGGCTCTAACCAACAAAAAGAAACACAGGTCAGATATTTTCTTTTTAATTGTCATGATGAACTTTAAACTATCATAATTGATTTAAAGGCAATTTAACCTCATGACAATTAGTCAAAAGTAATTACATTCCACTTAGTTTTCTTATTGCTACATCTTACTAATATTCAGATAACCTCATAATGAAGGAGCAGAATTTATCTGCCACTTTTTTCCTTGCTCATTCCCTCAATCTTTTATTTCCTGCTATGTTTCTAATTGATTACTAAATGTACACAAAACACTGTAATTTGAGACATGAAAAATAGAAATCACTGGGTTTTCAGCTGTGCTCCTGCATATGGTGTTCATATTGTACGTGGATGATTCATCCTAGCTTTGGCTATTGATTAGAATAAAGAAATTCAGAATTTCAGTTCTTCTTTGGGATCAATTTCAGAGTTATTATGTCTCTGTGCATGGATTATTCTCTATCTGCACTTAATTGACTCCTTCCCCTCTCCTCCCTTCTCCTCTCCTCCCCTCTCTTCCATTGAAGGGTTGAGCAATATAGTATTATCATTTGTGAGCGTTTATAACCTTAATTCTTCCTTCCTCCCCCATTATTATCATCATCATTGTCATTATTATTCTCTTTTCTTCATTAAAAATGAAACTCAGTCAATTGGACATTTAAAAATGTGTCACAAATACCATTGACTGGTGCTAATGGTTGATACGGGTTGCTGCCAGTGTCCTAGGTATCAACCAAGTACCTTCTTAAAATATATGATGTTCCGAGTAGCACAGTTTTTTGCAGTTCCACTGGTATTATTGCAGGAAGCTGCAATTTCTTGAATAATAATAGTTGTTGTTGTTGTTGTTGTTGTTGTTGTTATTATTATTATTATTATTATTATTATTATTATTATTATTATTATTAGTAGTAGTAGTAGTATAAGTATCAGTATCAGTATCAGTATCAGTATCATTATTCAATTTTGGTGCCACCCAACTCCAGAGCAACAACTACAATTAATTACAAGTTTATATAATTATATACATCTATATTTTTATTCTGTTCATTAGTTTAGCATAGTAAAAGTATACACCACGTAACTCTGTCAAATGTCAAATGGACTTGGATCACTTAAACCCACATGGCAGTGAGTCTTCAGTCTGACAACAAAGGCTATGTTTTCTGTACTGTACAATAACGTCTGGGAGGGGGGGAGCATTCCAAATCACTATAAATATTGACAACAATAGGCAAAGTATTTATTTCCCATATTGAGAGAATCCTCAACAGTACAAATAAAAAGCATGATACTAAAGGAAAAAATGGTGTCTAAAGTAGTGTTGGTGTGTCAGCTCTCTGGAATTCTGTGCCACTAAAATGAAAGAACAGGAGGCTGTTTCCCTTTTTTAATATATACTTTATTGTTTTTTTTTTAAAAAAAATTTAAACAAAAAAAAACATCAAATCTCTGTTAACATCTGAGGTGTCGTGTAGTTACATATTTATGTTATATACATTATATACATATCTATTACATTCAAATCTACCATTATTGAACATAGACATATCCTTACAATCTCATTCTATTATTCCACCATTTATACCACCTTTCCCATACTGTCTTGAATTTTGAATTCGCATCATCGTTAAGAGCACTTGTTAATTTTACCATTTCTGTGCATTCTAGGATTTTGTTTATTATTATCATCTCTGGAGGGGTTTGTTTGTCCTTCCAGTATTTTGCAAAGGTTAACCTGACCGCTGTTATGACATGTATTATAAGGTGTTTCTTATCTTTAGAAAGTCCATCTTTTGGCTGTTTCCCGCCAAAAGTTGGAAATGAAACTTGCTTTCTTTGCCAAATGTTTCCCTCAAGAAAATAGAGTTGAAATTTAACAGTGAGCCCCAATCAATGATTAAGCTGGAATTAAGGAGAAATGCAACTCAGCAAGATACATGGACAGCTAGAATGAATATTACACCAGAGGAAATATAATCCATAACTTTCTTATGTCTATTCCACTTTACATATAGGTTGAAAGGAAGGTTTTTTTCTTGTTTTAAAGACTAGCTAATCTTCACGTGTTATGGTCTGGTCTTAAACATATATTACTTGAGAGTAACTTGAGTTCAATAGGTGCATTGCTCTGGCTTGATCGTTTGGAAATGTATTATAATTTACCATCTCTCTATGTTCAGATACATATTCTTAGAGCCCTACTGTTTCAACCGTCCACATCTTCCAGAGAATGTTTTTTTCCCCAAGAACTGAAGAATGAGCCTTTTGAAAATTCCTGCTTAGGATTTCTGGGCAAACACGGCTCTGCCTGCTGTTGCTACATCTGCTCTAATTCCTGAAAACGTCACCTATCTGTCAACGACATCACAGCAGATGGGAGGTGGACTTGGTGCAGACTTAAAACTCTGAGCATGCTGCTGGAAACAGGCAGGCCAGGCTGAGCCGGAACGTCGCCTGCCTGTGCTCTGTGCAGACTGTAGGTGGCGTTGTCGCTAAGCACCGTCTCTTTTTCTCCTTGCTAGCGCTTGTGGCCGCCTTGGGCGACAGCAGGTGGTGCCAGATCCCGCACGGAAGCCGCCGCCCCAGCTTGGGAGTGTTTGCCTGCCGCAGACTCGAGCGGCTGTCTCTGCGCTCACTCCTTGATCCTCTTTCAGTAGCTTTTGGAACCAGGCGGCTGAGGAACGAGGCGCTGTCCATTCAGCACCACCGGGGGGGTTAAAAACCAGCTTTTTTTTTGGCGCAATCCGTCGCGAACTTCCTTCCAAGAGCGAGCTGTGTGCCCTGCAGTAAGTAGATAGTGGGAGGATAACGGGGGTGGGGGGCGGGAGGAGGATTCCCCCCCCCTCGATCGTCTGATTCTGAGGCATGTATTTGTGACCCGCCCCTGATTACTGGCGCAAATGCATCTGGGCTAAGGGGAAAAAAAAAACCGAAGAGGAAAAGGGGCTCTCGAATATCTTTGACAATGTGTTTTATTTGTTAATTTGTTCATAGATTGTAATTCATTCCGGAATACGTCAGTTGCCAGAGAAGAAGGGGCTGTTAAAGAATGATTGTTATTAAGCATCACTTCTGAAAGGTTTTGTGTAGTTGCTATGTTTTTTTTTTAAAAAAATAGATGTAATATACAGTTAAAAACCTGGGCCAAATGCACCCCTTGTTTAGATATTTTCTGTTAGCAACAAAGGAGCCAAGCTAGGTTCACTCCTACAACCCGATCTTGATATGAAACAATCTTTGTTTGGAGCTAAACCAACAAATGCTTAGGTGAACTCCCTTGTGGGTGGTTTAGACTGATGATACATTCTTTAAAGCAAGAAATAAAGGTAAAATGCTTCCCCCTCTTCCCCCTCCCTCTTTTCCTCCCTTCCAATTTAACAGAGATATGCAAGTGGGAACCATATGACCTGCAGGGTGATTGAAATATGGCAAGCTGACATATTCTGTCCTTAATTTTCCCTCCTTTCTGTCCTATCCTCCTTTTTACCCCCTTTAACACTGATCACCTTAATATGTTTTAGGTCTGGAAAGTGAGATCTAAGGATGGTGAAGCTGGGAAGCAATTTGAATGAAAAGAACAAGCAGCAGCCGTCCAATGAGGATGGTTTTCAGACGGTTCCTTTGATAACACCCTTGGAAGTCAATCATTTACAGTTCCCAGCTCCAGAAAAGGTAAATGGAAAACAAAACAAAATCTAAAGCAAAGAGAGAGAGAGAGAAAGAATAGGCAATATAGGTTTTCTAAGTATTCTGTTCTATCGCCTTTCAGAATCTTAGAAAAGACCCATTGTTCCCTTTAAAGGGGTTGACTTTTGCTGTGTGCACCTGTCTGTTTTCAAAAGCGGAGCAGACCAGCATATAATAGAAATGGATCATGGCTCAAGCCTGAAAAATGGCAGAGTCTGCTCATCCTTTTATCCAATAAAACAGAGATGGGGAAAATACGCTTATTAGAACAATCTCAATGAATTTGTGTATTTTAAAATTAGCTTTAAAACTGCAATCCCAGTTGTTTATCTGACATGAATGTAACCTGCTGCAATGAATGCTTTTGACAAAGTGATGCAGAGAGATGTTTTATGCCTATATTCTTGTACCCCTACCTATATTAATTTATGGGAAGAGAACGCTTTTGTCCACCAAGTCAAAGCTTAGATTTTGAATGGGATCTTCAAAAGTCAGTATCATTGATTTACTGAGCCATTATTTTAATACAGTCTGTTGTCTAATCTGTACACATTATCCTATTCTTTAGTATTATTTTTGGGGGAGACAAAGTAAGGTCATAAATGTGTCTCAAATTCATTTAATCTGTGTTTAATGTGGATAGAAAATGACTGCAGTGCATCTGTCTATTCGGTTCTCAGACCCAAATTTGTAGAAAACATACTACGTGGACTGTAGGCATGCACATAAAGGTGAAAAGAGCAAATTAAACAAATTATGCTTAATTCATCTCAATAATGGCACTCTCCTGCCAAAACATTAAAAGTCCTCTCTTTAATACATTATAATCAGTCATAATGTCTTTTCTTATCTAGAGGAATTCTGCTAAGTAGTTTGGTGATGCAGTGATTGAGAGATAAAATGATAGAAAAGATTAACAATCCATAAAATTGCATTTCTGATTGCAAAGTGGTGTAATGTGAATCAGTTCTTAGAAGCAATGGGTTTGATAGAAATAATGTGATGATAATTTTTTGAAAAAAGATTATTTTGAATCTTGTAATATTTGTTTCTTTCCAATAATTTTAAATTTATTTATTTATCCAATGTATATGGATACCTATCTATCCAAGAGTCTCTAGGCAGCAAACCAAAGCAGAATTACATTAAAACAAAACAAACAAACAAAAACAACTAAATGGCATTGAGGCCCAATGAAAACCAAAACTAAAAGACACAAATCCTCATGCCACAAATCCTCATGCCACAAATCCTCATGCCACATCCCATTCTAATGTCCTAGTCCCAAAACCTGGAGGAAAAGTCAAGTCTTCATGGCCTTTCCAAAGGCCAATAGAGAAGGGACTGCCCATGTTTTTGGAGAGACTGTTCAAGAATAATAATCTGAAAAATGATTATCACTCTTGATTGTTATATAAAAATTGCTAAATCAGAACAATGGGCTTCTCAGTACTTTGCTGTGGAACACCTCCAGAAGTGTTCTGGTGCCTTTATGTCCTGCTTGTGGGTTTCATGATTGGCTATAATGGAGGTAGAATATCCCACCAGATAAGCGTTATACCTGATTCAACAAAGTCTACCTTGTTTTAAAATTTTAAAAAAATTACATTGAACTTAAGAATAGTTCATATTGCAGACAAGAATATTGTTTATCAGATACACAGAATTTCTAATAAAAGAGATGTAATCTGTTTATTTATTTATTTATTTATTATTTCATATTTGTATACCGCCCTACTCCCGAAGGACTCAGGGCAGTGAACAGCCAAAATAAAATACAAAGACATACAAAAGTTAAAAAGTATTAAAAACAGATTAAATAATTTAGGCTCAAAAAACAAATTAAGACATCCAATTTATCTAAAAAACATTTAAAACCCAATTTAAAAGGGAGAGTTAGGCCAGACCAGCCTGTTGGAATAAAAACATTTTTAGGGCACGGCGGAAGATGCGTAAGTTTTGGATCCTCCGTATCTCTGGGGGGAGCTCGTTCCAGATGGCAGGTGCCCCCACAGAGAAGGCTCTCCCCCTGGGGGCCGCCAGTCGACATTGTTTGGCCGACGGCACCCTAAGGAGCCCCTCTCAATGGGAGCGAACTGGTCGGTGAGAGGCTACTGGTGGTAGAAGAATATTGTTTATCAGATACACAGAATTTCTAATAAAAGAGATGTAATTTGTTGATCCAGTGGATAACATATTTTCCTTGGGTCATGAAAATACCCCTTTTCTACCACACAATTAATTTAGGCAAATATTTATCAGTTTCAAGTTGGAATAAAAGTGATATAAGCTTCATTTTATTTAGGCAAGGATGCACCTGGATGAATAGCTGGGGCAAGCAAGTTATTAGCAATGCAATACAAAATAGATTATGTGGCTGTCAGATTTGGCAGACAAGGGCTTAAGCAGATCTTGAAAAACCTTGAAAAAAAATCATGTGGCAGCTGCTTTATCTGGGGATGTAGATGTTCTGGATAATAATTTCTACAATGTCTTGATGATGTTGCTCATAATTGAGGATTTTAGAGTCTCAAATATTTGGTGAACTAGAGATTATTTGAGCTTGTCTAGGGTGACATAACAATATAAGGTGTGTTGAATTTATATTTTACTGACAAAGAAATAAAGGGAGACTAGTATAGACCTATTTCAAGCTATTTAGCTCTCGACAGCTAGCCATACCCTTTCTGGGATTTGAACCTGGGCTACTTCGAATCTGGAACAATATAAGGTGTTACACAATCGCTATCATTTTTGTTTCCTTTACCCAGATTTCCATTACAGTACAGTATTTAAGCCAAGGACTGGGACTTTGCTTACTTATCATGAATAAAGACATGAGCAAAACTGAATTATGCTGTCATTTCCCAACTGTTGTCTTGTGAATGTGTCAGATTCTATTTGGCCTTTGGTCAAGACTTGTAAGTCATATTATCCCTGGAAGACAGGAACTTAACTGAGAAATACATAGAAGTATATACCACAATGTATACAATTATCATTTTTTTTTAAAAAAATCAACTCTTTCTATAGGAGAGGCACAATTCTGGTAGATGTTCCAGGAAAAGAGCCTTGGAGGATATTAGGAAATGATAACAAATCATCAACTTTACCTTACAATATTTTTATAAGAATCAAGCAAGCTCAATTTCCTATATAAAAGCTTTAGAAATTAACTGTAATTTTCTACATGCAGTGCAGATGATTATTCCCCCCTCCAAAACAATAGTTAAAATTATGTTATTTGTTTGCTAACTTCAGAGCATAAAAAACATCTGCATATGTAAAGATAACTGATAATAAATACTGGCAGAGCATAAACTATATATACATAATAATTTGGTATCGTGTGATAACTCATCTAACCTGATATAGAAGGAACTTATATTTACCTACACATTTCCTGTGCACCTTGAGTTATATCTGCAACTTTAATGTTTCATCTATATTTAAGATGAAATTAGGCCTTTTCTAAGAAGCTTTTAGTGAAAGAAAGCAAGCTCATTGATGGCAATAGAAAGAAAAATAAAGTATTATGTTATAATCTATTTAAAAAAAACAAATTGGAGAAAAGATTCTTCTGAATACTTTATTTAGTGTCTTGGAAAAGGCAATAACTTTCTCAAAATCAAAAAATAGGGATATCTCAATTCCGAATTTGCTATTCTTTTGCAAATTCTTCTCATAGTATCTCTCCTTTCAATTCTTCTCATAATATAGCTCATAGTATCTGTTTGAGTACATATCTCTATACATATGTGTAGAGTACTCCAACTAAGGCCATACAGAAGTTTATTTTTTTTCATACTGCCTAAAACAACAATAGTATGGATGGTGTCTTGTCTCTTAATGTAATATAACTAAAAAGGATTAAACTGTTCCAACACAACCAGCTCTTCTTCTTTGTTCACAAGAGAATCTTAAAGATGGGGAATTTAGATTGTGGCACTACAATAATCAGACTAATGGTCATGAAAACACATTGATTTTTGCCAAATCAAGAGTTATCTTGTAGACAGTGAGGCATCCACTGCTATGGTTTGGAAACAAATATAGTGCTACATCTGTGTTTTACTACTTAGTATCATATAGAAGAGAATCAGCTCGTGGCAGTGGTTAAAGGCATTGAACTAGAAACCAGGAGACTGTGAGTTCTAGTCCTGCCTAGGCATAAAGTTAACTGGGTGATTTAGGGCCAGTCATTTTCTTTCTGGGCAATTTCAAAACCAGCACTGAGAAATGTTGCCAAGAAAACTACATGGCCTTGTCCATGTAATCACCAGAAGTCCAGAGTGACTTGAAGGCACAAAGTCACCAGCATCATAGAGAATCAGAATCTAGAATAAGGAAAAGAATCAGGTTTTGTCTTCTTTTGGAAATGTTTGATAATATCTGTGAAGTGTCGGGTATGGTGTAAAAAATGGAAGTAGTTTAAATGACTCCATACTTTCTTCAGGGCAACTCTATGGCTAAATGAAGCTCCTCTTTTGTCTATAAAGTATGACTGTAACCTTGTTGCTGGTATCCTTACGATTTATATTGACTGTTTCCTAATATGATTTGCTTGCTTATTTGTTCTCTATGACTATCATTAAGTGTTGTACCTGATGATTCTTGATGAATGTATCTTTTCTTTTATGTACACTGAGAGCATATGCACCAAGACAAATTCCTTGTATGTCCAATCACACTTGGCCAATAAAGAATTCTATTCTATTCTATTTTAAAGCATTCCAGATTTAGTGCTTGTGATCCTCTATGAAAAAGGCTAGGTATGTCATGAAAAGGTTCTTTTTAAAAGAAGTGAGGTACAAGCATGTGGCCTACTCCTAGAGCTGCTTTTAAGCAATGTGATTCAGACAACTCTATACTATTTTTAACTCAGCAATTGTAGGTGGTGGACATTTTGTTCCTTGTGAGAGAATAAATAATAATGCAGTCAATGAAGGAGAAATGAAAAGAAATGCACAATAACACTTTTGCTT